AGGAGCCAGCACCGTGGGAGGTGAAGTTGGGGAGCGTTTTTAAAAGGCCATGTTGTTTACAGTCATGGATTCATAGACAGTTTCCTCTTTAGAAACATGCGTTCTGTTTTATTGCTTTTTAGTGGAGATGCTTGCCGGTCCACACCCCCAGTCCCTAAAAACGCAGAGGACAAACATGACTCGGACGCACGGAGTCGCGCCTGCAGGCCTCTGCTCAGATTGCTTTGCCGTGGGAGGATTTCGAAGGCGGGCAGAGCTGCCGCCTGTGCGCTGGCCCCGTGGTGCCTGTTCACGGTGGCTAATGAAGGCGCTGGGCACTGCAGCCTGTTTGCACAGCTGCCTGCTGGCAGCGGCTGCAGCCGGGGCGGCTTCCCTCGCACCGCGTCTGCCCCCAAGCTTCACCCTGTGGCCCAGGGGAGTCACCCACAGAGCGAGGCCACGGAGGGGGAGGGGCCGCTGGCGTGGGGGGGCCTTCCTACAGGGCCACGGGCGGGACAGGGCGATGGATCCCACGCCCCAAGTGGCATGCTGTTCATTTTCTGGAGGACTCATGCTGCGGGCAGGGCCTGGCGCTCTGCACACTCGCCCCCGGCTTGATGGGCGTGACATTGTGCGTGTGAGAGGCTGACACTCCAGAGGGCACAGGGACAGGGCCTGCTCTCCCTCCCTCCAGACTTCTTGCTGTGCGCCCCTCTCGTTCTTCGCGGGCCGGAGGTTCGGGTGTGAGCCGGCCCCTGGAGCATCCTGGGAGGGGCTGGGGGGCTTAGCTCCCATCTCCGTCTCCTGCTCAGAGAGCCCCGAGCAGGTGGTTGCCTTTGATGTTTATCTGGTTGGTTCCACACAGGAATGCAAAGTGTTGCGAAGGCTGGCTTTCCATCCCAGGGCAGTGCAGGCCGGGGCAGGCTGTCGGGGAGGTGGCAGTGTGGTGCGGTCCGCGCCCCGGCCTGGAAGTGGGGCTGCCATCGCCAGACCTGCTCCGTGTGTCCCCCGGGTGTGAGAGGTCTGCCCGCATCTCTCTGCTGTGGGAAAGGCAGCCCGGCGGCCAGCCAGCCGTGACGGGATCGACGCCGAAGGAGGCTGTGTCATCAGTGTTGTCACCGCACTCAGAACCGCCCACGGCCAAGAAGGACATGGATGACAGCTCTGTGTGGCTCAGGTCCTGAGACCAGCAGGGCCAGGTGGCTGCACATGGCCGTGGGACGCAGAGGTCTCCTCTGGGCATGCCCAGTGTGGGGTTGCTTGTATTCTTAGAGAGGGCATTTTCCAGGGTTACACTTGGTCACCAGACACCTAGACAGGGGGCAGTACTGGGCACGGAGAGGGCCCGCGTGCTTCCCAGACTGCACTGTGGGGGCCACTCTGATGACCAGGCCCTATTGCTTCTGCCTCCTTCTTGCTGTCCGTGTAGATGCTTCTGGCTTCAGCAGGGACACCTGCAGGGCTTGTCCACAGAGCCCACATTCAAGCCCCAGGCCTGGGACACGGTCCAGCTTGTGAGTGTTGATGCAAAGAACTCGGTCCCTGTAGTGTCCACGGGGCTGAGGAGCCAGCAGGAGGCACTGAGGGCCCGGACAGCAGGACAGGACCACCGATCTGGGACCCGCAGGACGATCTGCCTCACGCCTTAAGGTCTCAAGCAGATGTGTGTGCGCCTCCTGCTTTCTCGAGACAAAGTCCCAGAGAAACCCAGCCCTTCCTCCAGCTCGTCCTGCCGTCTAATCAGATCTGTCGATAAACACGGGCGGATTCCAGTTTTTCTCCTCCCCGCTCTCACGTTCCAAGGTGGTCATTACCTGTTATCTGTGTGGGATTGTGTTCCCACCTCCCCGCCTGCAGCTGTAGGCGAACATTTTAATTAAAGGGCAGGAGGGCCAGGAGATAGCGGCCTCCTGTGCCCGGGTCTCAGCGGGGGCGGCAGCGTTCAGGGGCGAATGATGTCGCGTCCCGGGGTTCACAGGAGCATCGCTGCAAACCGTCCTGGCGCTTCGTCAGGCAAGCGCTTATCTCCACGTCCAGGGCGGAGGCGGGCCTCACACCCAGCTGGAGTCTTGGTGACTCTCTGGCTGGAAGCCAATCAGACAAAACCCAGGGCACCGTCCTGCTCCCTTGGGTGGGAGTTTTCTCAGAAAGCTGAGTCAGCTTTCCCCTGGGGTCCTGCAGGGTAGAGTTTTCTCAGAGACCCTGGGTTCAGGCCTCAAATGCAGCCACATGCTTTGGCTGGTTGCTCAGTGGTTAGAGCATTGGCCCACAGATCGAAGGATCTCGGGTTCAGTTCCCGGTCAAGGGCACATGCCTCGGTTGCAGGTTTGATCCCCAGCCCCAGGTTCAATCCCGGTCAGGGTGCATGTGGGAGGCAACCAATCGATGTGTCTCTCTCACACAGACATTTCTCTCTCTCCCTACCCCCTTCCTCCTTCCCTTCCACTCTGTCTCAAAATCAATGGGAAAAATATCCTTGGGTGAGGATTAAAATAATAATAACAATAATAATGATGATAAAATGCAGCCACGGAGCAGATACACCTCTCAGAATGGGAGACAGGGCGGCCCCGAGACCTGAGTGGCCTTATTTATTGTTGGGGCCCTTTGGGTGTTCACAGCGGGCTCCCTGTCTCCTGCCCACACGCTCCCTCTCGTCCCACCCGGTCCTCCTCACTCCTCACCTTAGCCCGGCCTTGCCCCTTACCTGCCTTTCGACTCTGAGATCTTGTTCACACCCATGTGCCAGTCATTGGCCCTCGGTGGGCGCTCATAATCCACACTTGCCCGTGAATGGAGGCGGAGGCTGGTTACTGGGTTTTCACGATGTCGGCGTCCGTAGGAGGCTTGCGGGATGGTGAGCACTTAGCCTGCCGGGAGGCCTTCGCAGAGTTGGCTCTGTGACGAGGACACTCTTCAGTGCTTTCCTGGCAGCCCGACCTCGGCATCAGAACAGGGGTGGCTGGCATTGACGTGGGCGTTAGCATTTAAATGGCTAAAACCTGAATGAGCCCCCCCACCCCCCACACACACCTACAGGGACGGCCTTTCTCCCCGCTCTGGAAGAAGTTAATGACATTTACGGGCCTGGATGAGCTCTGAAGCTTCATATTTCTGATTTTAATAGATGTATTCATTTTATGGCAGAAGCCACAATCAAATCCAGGGAAGAGTGAATGAACAGGAAATCAATAAGGGTGTGTGTGTGTGTGTGTGTGTGTGTGTGTGTGTGTGTGCTGTGAGCGCACATGCTTTTCCAGGCCTCAGGGCCTCATCTGCAAAATTAGATTTACACGGGAGGACACCTGTTTCCTTCAGGGGTCAGATGGGCTGTCGCGGGAAGGAAGCGGTGGGTGGGCCTTAGACAAAGGTCACTTCAGGGAGAGTGCATTTTCCCTTCAGGCAGAGCGGAGAGAGTTGGACTAGGTGGCCTGTGATTTCTTCGATTCTGTGAGTCTGCTCGGGTGAACACGGAGATTCCCATCACTGCGTGTGGAGTACAATTTTGTGATTCCATGGGAGCGGAGAGTGGGTCCTGCTTTTCTGCCCTGAGGCGGCATGAACATTCTAGCCGCCAGCCAGCCCCACCCCTTGCTGCAAAGCCCTCATCCTCGGGCATGTGACGTTCAGATGTGCAGTCCTTTCTGGATGACCGATGCCTTCACTGGCATCAGCCCATGTGCTCTTCTCAGCAGCCACGCGGATTGGTTGGTGGTGTCTCCGCATCACAGGCCAGGAGAGGGGAAACGGCTGAAGCCGGGTCCGGCCTGGAAGGCAGCCCTCGGTGCCGTTTCTACTGTGCACCACGGATGCCTCCTCTTAGCGAGGCTTGGTTTTCAGTCAGCAGGAAACACTGCATGAAAAACAGAGTAGCATAGCTTTCTGGTCTAAGTCCCTAAGGAAAGCTATGCCGAGGCCCGTCCTGGCCCACTTCCTGTGATGGTACCTTCGTGGTGGGTCCTTGGTGGGGAGGGCGGGGCAGCCACACACAAGGGACGCATGGCTTGGCCTCCCCAACATACTTGGACATGGAAGCCCGCGGTGCTGCCAGTACTGAGTGTGGGCGCCCTCCCGCTCCACCTCGTAGTTACCTGTTGGCAGTTCCTCTTCTCTGCTCCTGCCCTGTCCTCCCAGGGCCAAGCAGGTGATTGGTTATAGGTTGCGGGACACCGGGGCGAACTAGCCGGCCTGGGGTAGACGGGTGGGTGGAAGGAAGAGGAGAAATCAGTGCTAACTCACGTCTGCAGCAGCTTCTCCACGTGCGCTCTGCCCCGTGCGGGTGTCGCCCTGACCTGTGGAGTAGGAGAGCCCAGCGTCCCTCACACGGGGCCAGTGGTTCTCAACCTTCCTAATGCCGCGACCTTCATGTTGTGGTGACCCCCAACCATAACATTATTTTCGTTGCTACTTCATAACTGTAATTTTGCTACTGTTATGAATCGTCATGTAAATATCTGACATGCAGGATGTATTTGCATTGTTACAAATTGAACATAATTAAAGCATAGTGATTAATCACAAAAACAGTATGTAATTATATATGTGTTTTCCGATGGTCTTAGGCAATCCCTGTGAAAGGGTCGTTCGACCCCCAAAGGGGTTGTGACCCACAGGTTGAGAACCGCTGCACAGGGCCATGAGGCCCGGGGACACTGCCCTCGGACCCAGGGAACCTGAAGCCATACTGTGCTCTTCCCCCCCTTAGCTCTGCGGCCATCGGTAAATGTCTAGACCATTTTGAGGTCCCCAGTTTCCTCTTCCGTAAACTGGGGAAAATAGGAAAATTCTGTGTGGCCGAAACAAATCCCGGTTATAACTTACTCCTTTCTCAGCTACGGGCTGGATGGGTTATGGCCAATGTCACAGCCCGCGCGGGGCACGACCACAGGACTTGGTTTCCTCTCGAATCCTGGAGACAAAGGTGTGGTTATCCCTGGGCGCTGTGGTTTACCTGCTTCAGAAGAGGACCTGCTCATTCAACAAAGACGCTTTGCATTAATCTTGCCCCCCCTTTTTTTCAGTATCCAGCGAGCAGCACTGGTGGTTCTGGAAAACTACTATAAGGATTTCACCATCTATAACCCCAACCTCCTAACAGCCTCCAAATTCCGAGCAGCCAAGCACATGGCGGGGCTGAAAGTCTACAACGTGGATGGTACGTGCCTGGAACGGTGGCTCTGGGAGTGTCTGGGGGCAGTTGGGGCAACTTCCTGGCCCATCTGGTTCAACCTCCTCTCTGTGTTTGCCTTTGTGGTCCATTCTCATTTCAGAACAACTCTCTCTCTCTCTCTCTCTCCCCCCCCCCCCGCCCCCTACTCCCCCAAACATTTTCTGAGGAATGTTGCTTTATGGTCTACATCTGTGGGAAGTTCATTCATTTTGGGATTTTTATGATTGAAAACAATGGTGATGTGTGTGTTTCCTGTCTCCTGCTGGGAACACCTTCCATTAAATAAAGCTATTAGGAAAGGATTGCTTTTCAAAATGTGGATAAAGCACCCAAAGCAAAGACTCAGCCACCCAAACCCGTGAAGACTCTATAACTGTCAGTAGTTCAGGCCTCTGGCGAGACACTTCGGGCATTCCTCAGCCCTGGCCAGCAGCCGGAGTGAGCGGGTGGCGGGAGGCCAGAGGCCAGGCTGGGGCGCCAGAGCCAGCTCCTCCGGGCTATCAGATGCTTCGGCGCAAGAAATAGGACACGGTGTCATGTCTTGCTGGGCCGCTCGGGTCAGGGCGAGAGCTTTGCAAACCCTCCAAGAGGATCATGTTGTTAGCAAGTCAAGTGATTTATAGGTGGTGTCAGTTTCGGTGGTGATGTAACATCCTCCGCCTTTTTAAATGGTGCTTTATTATTATTTTTGGCTAATGAGATGTGCACGCTCTCACGAATCCTGAAGGATTGGTCCCTTTCGCCTGTGACCTGAAAACAGCGAAAATTCCCACTAGCAAAACTGGTCGTCGACCACGTAGGTGAAACACGAGAAAGCGTGAGGTGCCTTGTCTTCCTGACAAGTCGAGGAGGTCAGTGGTCAGAGGAGCGAGAACACGGGGGCTGTTTCGCAAGTCCTCAAGCATCATGGGCTTTTCTGTGAAAGCTGTGCTGCCGTGAGATCCCAGCAGTGAGATCCCAGCAGTGAGATCCCAGCAGTGAGATCCCAGCAGTGAGATCCCAGCAGTGAGGTCCCAGCAGTGAGGTCCCAGCAGTGAGGTCCCAGCAGGGCCGTGTTCCTGTGTGTGGTCGGTGTCACTTTTCCTGGACTTCACTCTCTCTGTCCTGTACTCCCCTCCCTCCCTCTCTCCCTCGTTGTCCTGTTGCTGAACTGTGACGTTACGGCCGCCCTCGCGGCCAAGCGGGCCGTCCTGTAACAGATGGTACGTAACATCTTCGCACTCTGTGTTACTGTTGGCCATCGTCTTAATGGCCGAGCATTCTTCATCTCCTTCCGAGTTCCTTTTCCCTTTGCACCGAGCAGATTGGGCCTCGGGGAGGTTCCTTCCCCTCGTGAGCAGAGCGAAGAGAAGCGGGGGGACCGTTCCCCCTCGTGGGGAGTCGCTTTGGGGATCTGTGTCTGTGCTTCACGGGGGATGGTGGGCGGTCCCGACAGACTGTGGTACCAGCGTTCTGCTCCGTTTTGCAGTCCCGTGGCATTAAAACTGCGTTTCCTGCACCATCTTTCCCCCAAAGGCCCCAGTAACAACGCCACTGGCCAGTCCCGGGCCATGATCGCCGCGGCCGCTCGGCGCAGGGACTCGAGCCACAACGAGCTGTATTACGAGGAGGCGGAGCACGAGCGGCGGGTGAAGAAGCGGAGAGCGAGGTACCGCGTCCCCCGGAGCGAAACCTCACTCTGAACGTGGCCTGCGTGAGCCTCGGGAGTGATCGTGCCGGGCGTTTCTCAGACTTCTCGTGCGCAAGCATCACCGGGGGCTCATAGCACAGGCCTCGGGGCCCCACCCACGTAGGCCACTTACTACTCAGCAGCTCTGGGCCCAAGAACCGGCATTTCTTACCAGTTCCCGGCCGATGCTGGCCCACGGCCTGCACTTCGAGTGGCCCCATCCCGCACCCCAGGCCCCCGCTGTTTCTCTAGACCTGATCCTAGGAACTGAGAGGGACAGAGGTGGTCCCACTGTGTGTGCGGGGCCTCTTCCCTCCTTCCCCGGGGCTGCTGCGTGGCGGCGGGATCCACGGGGATCAGCCCGGCTCTTTGTAAGCGGCTTCGGCTCCACCAGCCCCGCTCAGAGGCGGAGGGGCCTTAGCATGCACTTCCCTCCGCTGTCCAGATGGAGCGAGCCTCCCGAGCAAGGCAGTGGCGGGATTGAGAACAGAGGTCCCCTCCAGGTCCCAGGCTCCTTCCTCCTCGCCCACCACAGCCCCAGTTTCTCCCTCCCACCTCCTATCCCTCCCTTCCTCCCTCCCCTACCTACTGTCTAGACAGCCAAGGGCCTGGGGGAGCTGGGGGGAGCTGGGCAGGGCAGGAGGGCAGGAGTCCTCCAGGTCTGAGGACGGCTCTCCAGCCCCGCCCTGATGCCGGTTCCGTTGTCCCCAGGCTGGTGGTGGCGGTGGAGGAGGCCTTCATCCACATCCAGCGGCTCCAGGCCGAGGAGCAGCAGAAGGCCCCGGGGGAGGTGATGGACCCCAGGGAGGCCGCCCAGGCCATCTTCCCGTCCATGGCCCGGGCCCTGCAGAAGTACCTGCGCACCACGCGGCAGCAGCACTACCACAGCATGGAGAGCATCCTGCAGCACCTGGCCTTCTGCATCGCCCACAGCATGACCCCGAAGGTGCGCCTCGCCCAGCCCCAGCCCGCACTTGGGTGTGACCGGGAGGGACCAAATCAGAGGCTTCTTCGAAGCACCACTGATGGGGATGGGTGAGGCCCACCCGTTTTCTGGTCTTTGGGTGCAGCTGGTTTCTGGATGTGCCTCTGAAGGCCTCTAGAGTTGAGCAGAGGAACGATTCCACGTAGAGACAGTGCAGGTAGCGGTGAGGGGTCCTCGGTGGGTTCCGGAGCCAGGAACCCGTTCTCACCTGCTCCTCCACCAACGGCTGCAACACCTTGAGCCAGCCGCTGAACGGCTCTGTGCCTCAGTTTCCTGTTCTGCAAATTAGGGATAATCCTGATATCCTCTTCATTGGGTGGTTGTGAGAAATAAAGGAGTTCATTTGTGTGGCGAGCTCAGAACAGTGCCTGTTGTGTGGTTAAGAACGCAGTAAATGGCTATTATTATCAGAGGCAGAAATGAGGCCAGCCCTTTGTTAGGCGTTTCGGATGTTGTGGAGTTCCTGTTACTGAATGGTCTTTGAGATCATGATGTGAGCACACTTTTAGGAAACAGTCGTGTAGCTCATGGAGGGAGGTGGCCAGGGAGACAAGATGGAGTCAGGGTTTGGCAAACGACCTCTCTCCAGACAGATGTGGGTCAAGTCCAGGTCCCACCACTCATTGGTTTATGACTTCACGTAAGTTACTCTACACTCGTTTCCTCTTTTATGAACTGGGGGTGCTAACAGTACCCACCTGATAGGATTGTTGTGTGAGGATTATATTAAATGTGGCAGCGTGACACGGGGTAAGGGATCCTGGCCTAGACACACATGGGACACTCAGGAGCTGTTGGTATCGGCCTGAGGACCTGTGTTCCCACACCGTCCTGTACACACACGAACTGCTGGTTACATTCTCACTAACCAGTGACAACCTCAGGGAAGCAGATGTTCCGGGAAAGGACCATAGGTGTGCAGATTCTTTGACTCACCTAGAAAACGTAGTCAGCACAATCACATGTATCCATGAATATACTAGTACATGCAGGTGATTTGCAAAGTAATCTGTCCTAACTCCAAACAAAATGACTTAAAAGTAGAACAGCACTTAGAGATTGTGGCATCTCCAGCCCCTGGTGGACGTGGACGACTCTTTTTTAGAATATCAGGCCCCAGAAGGGGGATGCAGAGCAGTGTGGGGGGCGTGTCTCCGCGTGCACAGTGAGGCTGGGCCCCCCCGGAAGCAGGCCTTTCCCTTCCTGCGGGATTTTGTAGTTTCCCACTTGCTTGCTTTTTCATTTCAAAAGTGTCTACTTTTATGAATTAGTAATAATAATATTTGTATAAAAGTCTAAACATTAAAGATTAGAATAATGTACAAAGTGAAGTTTTATTCCCCTAGGGCCGTCGTCGGCAAACCGCGGCTCGCGAGCCACATGCGGCTCTTTGACCCCTTCAGTGTGGCTCTTCCACAAAATACCACGTGTGATTGAAACTTCGTGGCCCATGCGCAGAAAGTCGGTATTTTGTGGAAGAGACACACTGAAGGGGCCAAAGAGCCGCATGTGGCTCACGAGCCACGGTTTGCCAAGCCGCAGTTTGCCGACCACTGCCCTAGGGCAAACAGTTCTTCCTGATAGCATGGGGGGTGTGCACGTGTGTGTGTGTGTGTGTGTGTGTGTGTGTGTGTGTGTGTGTGTGACTGTGTTTAAAGCAGAAATTAGGGTTGGGGGACAAATGGTATCCTATATACATATAGTCTGGAAACTTGCTGTCTTCCTTAAAGCTCTCGGGCTGTCTTTCGATGTCAGGACTTCCCGATCTCTGTCCTACACATGGAACTCACCCCCTCTAACAGCTGTACTGCCTTCCACTGAATCCTGTGATTCGCTTAACTGCCTGTTGGTGCACTCTCGAATGGAGCTCTTTTGTGAGTCTGAACCGGGGCTGGGCCCTTTCTGTTGCTCGGTATGATCGGAACGCAGCCACGCCCCCTTATTACATATCTTCTGTGGCTGCTTTCTCTCCACGAGGCTGAGCTGAGTGGTGGTGACAGAGTGGGGCTTGCAAAGCCGAGAACATGTACATTCAGAGAACAGTGTTCCAGCCCCTGGCCTGCACAGTGCTGACGTGACTGTCCCCTTTGCACGGGTTTCCGTGCTTGCGTGCTGGTGTTCCTGAAGGATGCGTTTCTCGCGGAGGAGCCGCTGGGTCACAGGCCGTCCTTCCGAGGCGTGAGGCAGTGTTACACTCACTTCTGGGATCCTTGGATGGGGGGGGGGCACTGCTTCTTCCCCCCACACTCAGCAGCGTCGGGGTCACCGTTCTTTTTACTCCCTGCCCACCTAAGAGAAGGAAAAATATTTCTTACTATTTGAATTCATATTTGTAAAAATTCTTCATGTGACAGGACGTCTTTCATAGGTTAATGTTCTGTTTATTCTCCTATAAGTTGTCTTACTGACTTCATTTCTCTGATTGTTGAATTGTTTCTTTTTCGTGTGGCTCCTAAGAGCTCTTGTCATATCAGACGTGTGTTTGTACCAGAGGCTCAGCTCTGCTTAGAACAGGTGCTCGCAGCGCTGAGGTCAGGACCTGAGGCAGCAACGAGGCGGGTGCTGGGACCCCTTACCGCCTGTGTCCCGACCAGAGTGACACATCCCAGCGTTTTCTATGTCTCGCCGCCTCATCCGCTCTCGCAGCCGAGTCAGGGTATCGATGGATGTGATACACGTGCTGTGAGCTCAGATGTGTGCTGGGTACAATGGGAAACCAGTGCCTGTCCCCCAGGAGAGGGGAGTCCCATGTGGGGCCGAGACCCCAAGTCAGCAGTTAATTGTCCCAAAAGGGAAACCTGCCCGGGCATCCAGCAGTGATCCCAGGCGTTCAGGGTGTGCTCATCTGTCCTGGAGGCCCAGGAGGTGGTTGGAGAAGACTTAAAGGGCCAGGGGGGCATTTAAAGATGACATTCAGCAGATGGAGTGATACTGTGAAGGGGGGGGGGGGGGCGCAGAGAATCCAAGGAGCTGGTGCCAGGAGGTGTGAGGGAAGGTGGGGCCTGGCCAGCCCTCAGACTTGCTGTGCACCCCCCCCCCCCATTGCTGGCGTTGATTGGCAACATTGATCGTAGTCACCTCCTGCCATGAGATGGTTAGTTGCCCACTTCGTCCTCAGCAGGCCTGTGAGTTAGGTGCTGTCATCCCCACTTTGAGAGCTTAGTCCCACAGCCCCAGTCCACAGCCAGCCGGCGGGAGAGCAGGTGTCTGTGTGTGCAGGTCGATCCCTGCAGGTGTGCAGCTCATGTTCTGGAGTGTTCTCTGTGCCCGGCACTGCTGAGCTCCCCGTGTGGGAGGAGGCAGACCTGCAGGCAGGGCCTGTGCGGTGGGGCTGTGCCCGGACGGCGGTGCCCCGGCCAGGGCTGCCCTCGGACCAGGTGGCTCTCCCTAACGGCCTCCTCCTCTGTTCCAGGCCTTCCTAGAGCGTTACCTCCGCGCCGGCCCCACGCTGCAGTACGACAAGGAGCGCTGGCTGTCCACGCAGTGGAGACTGGTCAGTGACGAGGCCGTGACGAACGGGCTGCGGGACGGGCTCGTCTTCGTCCTGAAGTGCCTGGACTTCGGCCTGGTGGTCACTGTGAAGAAGATCCCCTTCATCGCGCTCTCGGAGGAGTTCGTAGACCCCAAGTCGCACAAGTTTGTCCTCCGCCTGCAATCGGAGACGTCGGTGTAAAAGTCCTGCGTTTGCGGCTTTACTCCAAGAAAAGAGCCGGGAGGGAGATCCGCGTGCACGGAGGGCCACCTGGTGTGTGTGACGTTCATTGCCGAGCCTGGCCGGCGCTGGACCAGCGGCCTGACCTGCACTTTATTTGGAAGGAAGACGAGGTGTTGCCCTGGAAACCCGTGCGGGGGACACCGGACTGGCGGATGGGACTTCTCAAGAGGCCGTCCCCCGGCGTTCCTGTGGCAGCTGTAACCAAAGCAGAGCGGGCGGCTCTGGGAGCCTCGCCTTACAGCTTCGTCCCCGCCGTCTCGGGCGCCACATCCTCCACAGCTCCCAGGGGACGCGTCTTTATCCTGGTTCTGGAAGCCAGACTTGTGTGTGTGTGTGTGTGTGTGTGTGTGTGTGTGTGTGTGTGTGTGTAAAGGTCCAGTTCCACTCCCCCCGCAGCCAGGGGCTGTTCCTTGTTGCCTTAGGTTCTACCGAGAGAGATCACAACAGAAAATGTGCACTAATGATTCGATTGGATCTTTCTTTTCCCAAAGACAAAACCAGGCCGGTCTGTTTCTGATCCTGTTTCCCTACGGGCCAGAGCAGGTAGCCTTTGCTCATTCTGTGATGGGCACCTGTCTTCACCCATCCGCCCTCGTGCACACGCACACACACACACACACACACACACACACACACACACACCACCCACCCCGGCTGGCAGGTCCAGCCCGGGAAGCCCAACCTTCAGAGCTGCCAGGGACCTGGCCCTGCCCGTGTGCCTCAGGCGCTCCCACGGATTGTTTGCGTAGGGAAGCGTGGATTGCCCCCCCCCCCCCCCCGCAGGTAGATCGCCAGGAGGGCAAGCCAGCTGGAATGTCCCTTAGAACCCCTCCCCGGCTCCCCACCCACCGGGGAGGACTGACACTGTGACGGACTGGCAGCTTCAGCGTGGAGCCTCTAACGTCCAGGGAGTGCCTGCCAGGGGAGACCAGGCTATGCCACCGCGGTGACAGCTGACAGCTGCTGCCCAGCCCCTGATTTCTGACCACCGTCACTGTGCATCCCACTCCAGCCCTCTGCTGCTCACTCCCGGGAAGGGCTGGTTGGCCCCTGGTGTTGTCCTGGCTTATAGAGTTTGGTCGAGAGAGAAGGAAAGGTGCCCTGGCTAGTGTGGCTCAGTTGGTTGAGCATCGTCCCATGCACCAAGGGGTCTCTGGTTTCATTCCTGATCGAGAGAGGCAGGGGGAGGGGAGGGGGGGAGGATGGGCCGCAGAGTGTAGGGAAAGGGGAGTGGGGGCCAGTCTTAGGGTCCATGATCAGCTTCTTAAATGCAGCTGGTTCCAGGGGCTTTCCCGGCAGAGGCCTGTGCAGGGGCTCGGGGAGAGCCACACGGGTTCTCCGTGCCTCCCTCTGCCTCCTGTATCCACAGCACACCTTTACCAAGTGCTCCCTCCTGCTCTCCCGGGCACGTAGGGCCCCGTCCGCTCACTTCAGTGTGTTCCCACCCCCGGCCCTGGTTATGCGTCCGCAGGTGGCACAGGATTCGTGTGTCATCCTTTAAATCAGAGTCGGCTTTGGATATTTGTACCTGAAAAAGGAAACGGTGTTCTTGAACGAACAGCCTTCAGGTCGAAAGGAAGACGTGCTGGGAAAGAAGGAAGGGAAGCCAGTCGGCCTGGCATGGGGCCAAGGTGCGCTGTGTCACCGCACGGTTCCGCTGCTGGAATCCACCCCCGTAACCATGGTGCTTCCGTCCTCTTAGTGTTTGCCCGTAGGTCCCTTCAAGCCGGACATTCCTTCCGGTGATGCCTTTCTCAGGAATATGTTTCAGGAGATGGTGAATGTCTATGACTTTGGCTGCGTGAAGGTTACAACGTCTGAGGCTGCTGCGTCGGGAGCACAGCGGTGGACACGCCCTAAATGTCCCTGCACAGGGTTCACGGTGACGCTGCTCACCGGCGTCCCCAGGGCCCAGGCTTCCAGCCCGGTCTGCAGTTGCCAGCCCCGGAGGGGTCACGTCGGATTGGCTGCTTCGGCGCCTGTCCCCCCCGCCGCAGGTGAAGAAAGGTTAATATATTTCCTCTCTACCCGTTTCTCTCTCCCTCAGCCTTGTCAGACCTTCTGAAATTACTGTTTCTGTTTTAAGTTGAATACTGATTTTTTTTACACTGACTTTGTACGAACCCGTTTTTGAAAGAATACCAAATAAAATGCAGGGTCTCTGGACACGGATTTTGCACATTCAAACCCTTAATAGCGGGGACAGTGTCCATGGCGTTAACACACTGAAGAGCCGCACCCCGCCCTGGACCACAGTGTGTTTTTATTTCAGTTCCTAGAACCAATCGGCTGTTCTTCTTTAAAGGGGGTGTTCTGTGCCCTGGGGCTGGTCGCCTATAGATACATCCACGTGAGAGGAGACAGATTTCCTTTGCCTTAACTGTTTATAGATTTTTCTATAACTTTCAACCGAGGGTATTACAATGTGGACGTTAATTGCTAAAGCGCAGGAGGTAATGAGCGCCTGCCCGAGACCGCTGTCTCCCTGGCGGTGTCTCAGCCAGTAGATAACTTTTGTCCTGAAGTGTGTCCTTTCGAAGGTAATGGCCATGTTTAATCGCCCGTGACCTGAATGTTGAAGTCTGCGTGCTCGGAGGTGGGAGGGATGGTCAGGTGTGGCCGTTCATCCGTCCTTTGCATTAGCAGTTAAGTCGAAGCACAGAATGCTTTCGCTCAGGTTCATCAAGCAAGTCCTCGAGAAAGTGCTTGGCCAGCAAGCTGCCCGGCCATTACCATCTCCCTTCCTCCCTCTCTCCTCTTCAAATCTACGGACAGGACAGGTCCCACACAGCGGGTGGTAAGAGGTAGATGGCCCCTGTGGGTGTGTGCTCATGTGTGTGTTGTGTGTGTGTGCCTGTGTGTACATGTGCCTGTGTGTTGTGTATGTGTGTGTGCCTGTGTGTGTGCCTGTGTGTGTTGTGTGTATGTGTGTGTGTCGTGTGTGGCTTGTTGCCCGAGCTTGGACCACCTTTTCCATCGGGAGAACGTGGCTGTGCTGCCGAGTGTAGGAGAGGGATGAGGTGCCCATGGAGTCCTCTGTCTTGCATCTCAGCTTCCCCTCTGAGTGCACGTGTTTAGATGTGGATATGGCTCAGTGGGGAGCCATGTGCCTTTCAGGTTGGCAGAACGCGGTCACCCTGCCCCTTCCCATGCCTGCCCCTGGGAGAGAGTGACCCAGCCACTCAGTGAGACCAGCAAATCAGGCCTGCGGCTGGCTCTTCCCCCCGGGCCCTACTGTGTCAGGCCCTCTCAGCAGCGGCGCACGTCCTGTGTGGCTGGGTGTTTCCATGCACATGAGCTTTTCTCAGCGTGTGTGCTAGCACGTAGATGGCATGTTTGCATGTTAGGCACCTGCACATCTGTGTTGTCTGTGGCAATGGTATGTCTCTTCGTAGGTAACTTGTTTGTGTGTTTCTATGGATGAGCGTGTGAGGTGCATGTGCTTCTACACGGGCCGTGTGTTCGAGAGCTTTCCTAATTGCACCCATGGTTGGGAGGGTGCTGCATAGCCAGGGACCCCTCCCTCCCTCCTGTGCCCCTTTCCCTCCGTCACACCAGCTCCTCCCAGGAGTGAGCAGTGTTGGCACTGAGCTGTCTCCTGCAGGGCCCGCCCCCCTGCAGGCCAGTCCATGGGACCTTGTTCAGGCCCATCTGACCTGACAGCAGAGAGAAAGGTCAAGTTCTGTGGCAATTTCTCTTCCACCTCCATGACCCTGGAAGCCTTACTGTGTGTTTGCCAATACAGCTGAAAAACTGAGCATCATCCAAAAAAGAGCTGGAACCCTGAGGGCAGCACAGGACGTTGGCACAATATTTAAACAGTCCTGCCGCAGTGACCCTGCGATTGTAATGTGATGCTGTATTTCTGGGTAGCATTTATGCCTCCTGCATCTTGTCACAAAAAATAAATCACTACTGTGAACGTACTACCCTGTAACCTTGCGGTCATGTTCCATCCCACGTAAATGCGAGTTGTTCTTGAGCCCAGAGCACGGCCCATGCCCAGGATTCAGTGCTAGTGAGTGGAGCTATCAGACCCACAGCGAGAATGGTACTCACTGAGCTTTAACCCAGAGGATGCTCGGAGCCTTTAGACTTCAGACCACGTCTTGGACAAGACACTATGGTCAAAGAAGGAAGAGAAGGTGCTGACGTATTCACCAGGCACGCATGTCTGGGCCTTGTTACCTCACAGCCTCTGAAGGTGGGTTCCCTCAGGGTGCAGGTGAGGAAAAGGGTGTCAGAGAGGGGGACACCGGCCAGGGTCTCGGGTAGTGAGAGGAAGTTCGCATCCAGTGTGCGGTTCCATCCCTTGGTCACTGTACCTTGAGGTCTGATCTCATAGCTGGCGTTTCGGATGCAGAGGAGGGACCTGCGGACACTTCACCTTGAACCAGAACCTGGGTTTGTCGGAGGTGGAACTGCTTTTGCTCTTTCGCTTTGGGTTTTCCCAGAGATGTGGCCCCGCCGGAAGCAGATGCCATTGGATTTTCAATGAAATAACTTGAGAATCCTCCCGCCCCCAGAAACACCAGTGCTGCCCGTGTCGCCCCTGGGGCAAGACCCGGTGCTGGTCCCTGTGCTGTGTCAACATCCTGTCACTGGCTGGGGGGAGAGGGACCACCTGCAGGCCTCGCCAGGAGCTGTGCAGCCCTGTTTTCCCTGTTCCTGTGGCTTTAAGTCTGGGCTCCATTGTGCCTAAGCTACCCTCTTCTCTCCTGCTGTTTGCATGCAGTAAAGGACAGGGAAGCAGGGACAGTGCTCACATCCTTGTGCTCATCAGGAATGGGGACAGGTGTCAAGGGGCAGATAAGAAATCTAGAACTACTGAGTACAATGTGATGTCAGGACTGTGAGTCCATTTACCAGGCCTTGTCCCGCCTCTCCTTAGATAACCCCGCTTGTTTTGTTTCGCCTGTAAAATAAGTCTCTATCAGGAGTGTCCCCAGCACAACAACAGATTCCTAACTCCCAAAGGGTCACTCCCCATTGGCGCTGAGTCTGCAATGTATGCGTCTCGGCTCAAAATCACGGCTCAAAAACATCGGTGTTTTCTTCTTGTCTCAGTGGGATAAAAACACGCTTACCTGAAGCCTCAGGACAAGTGTGACCACCCCCTGGGCTTTTAACCTGAATGTCTTTGGTATTTCTTGAGGCACAGAAGTACTATTTGGATAAAATAAATAAACAAGAAAATCCAAACTTTATTAATTCCTTGTCTTTATAATGTAGGCTTTCATTAACTAGCAATCCCTTCTGGACCCCTAAATTATGACCCAGTTGGATTTCCCAGCCATCGCTTATGAGGACACATGTGTGGCATGTCCAGCCGTTGGGTGCGGCTCACTGCGGGCTGCGCGTAGACAGCCTGGCGGATGGCCCTGTCTCAACACGGATGCCAGGCCAGAGCGGCCGGGGCCAGGTCTCATTCAGAGAAGTTTCTTTGACGATCACTTTTGTGTTGAAAGAACTGTGCGTTTCTAGATTCAGAATCCAGCATCAACCCCAAATGTTGGGTGACAGACTGTCTCGCTCTATCTTAACCGTTTGTGCAAGGATGTGGCCGGGGTCTTTCGTGTTCTCCCGGATTAGCTGACACTGCACTTTGTAGCCAGGAGGGCCAGGTTTGCTGACCAGCCTGAACTCCTGAGCACCGCCTGTGTATGGCGAGTCTGGTGTGACTCCCTGCACCCTCAGGGCGGCGGGCTCTCTCAGACATTCCGAACACGCGAATGAATGAGTGGACGGCCAGCAGCCGTCTGCGGGAGCACGCGTGCCTGCATTCACAGGTTATGCTGTGTGACCTCCTCTCTTTGTGGCATCAGTAACGGTGTCAGTGTCTCTGAGGGACAGGGTGTGCCTGGCATCCCGGTCATTTTGAATCCCTCGTCCCAGTGAACTCATTACATGTTACATTTTTTATTCTGTAAAACTTGGAAAATAAGCAGAAATCCTAAGTGGAATTTTGTTTCTCTTTCTCATCTAAAGAGTTTTAGGGGACATTTTCACTCTTGCATGATTTAGATACCTTATTAGAGCTAACCTGTCAAGTTTCTGTGAAAACTAAGTCAATTAGGGTAGATTGAATGGGAAAGTAGAATCGCCATTGCATTTAAAACACACACACACACACACACACACACACACACACACACCTGGTTGCAATCATTTTATGGCCAAGAGAATATTCTAAATGAATAGACTACTGGAAATTAAAATCTTAGGCTCTAAAACCTGGAGATGAAACAGGCCTTTCTGAGTAAATCCATAAATGGAAAAAAGATCTTTGAGTCAAGAGTGAGAAAAGTGTCATACGCTGGATTTGGGATAGCGGTGGTGGTGAATATTGGATTGTTTTTGCGAGTGGCTTGGTATTTCAGTTTAAATTGGTGATTTATTTTAGCTAGCTCGATTTAAAGGGAGCTTGATTATTTGACAAATGGATTTTCACTCCAGTATCTCTTTACCTGTGCGGAGCGCCGACAGCTCACACATTCTTATCTGTTGCATGGACAGGAGTGAGAGAAAGCAATTGGTGTGAACATGTTCATGGTATAGATCATTGATAAGCTGTTTCTCTGGGCTGTCAGCCAAGATGTGCACCATTTATATCCTCATGAACAAACGCTACTGGAGAAAAGATGAAAGCTGTGTGCGGACATAAACCAGAGATTCCGTTCTTTTCCATCCACTCCCCATGGTGCAGCCATAGAATGTTGCAGAGTTTTGAGATTCTCAGTGAGAAACTACCAGGTGATGGACGTGGAGTGACGGGCATCAGGATGGCATCAGGCAAAGCCAGTGCCGGAGGCAGGCCAGAGGCAGGGGCGTGGGAACAGCAGTGTCTCTGCTTGAGGGGAAACTCAGTAATTCCCTGTTGGTGTCAAAGTGTCACGCAGGCATCTTCTCATTACACGGGCTGATGTTGACATCAGACAAGCAAAGCTATGTTGGACTTTGGGTATGTTGTCTGTATCTATATCTGATCTTATTACTGTGGTTCTGAGAATTCATATTCCAGACAAAATGATGATGCATTTGTGGAAATGACACGAGGTGCTTTGAACGTTTTTTCTGTTCCAGCTTCTTGCTCATGAAAATGATTGTGCGTTCTTGATAGCACAAGTGAGTTATTTTTTCCTAATAGGATGACCTTGCCGTTCTAATGATCTGACATCCCCCATACTGTTTAAATGGATCATCGCCTCCGAAATGAACGGAGAAGGGGTCTCTTGGCGTAATCAGTGAAAAGGATTGTGGGACATGCACTTGAGTCCATCTTCGGACACTTTCTGAGAAAAAGAAATGGGATCCTTTGATTCCTTAATTTTAGGAATTTCGTTTAAATCCTTGATTTAAGTGTAAACATGGGATTATAGTGACACTCTTTTAAAGTGTTTGTGTGACCCTAGGAAAATGACATGAGACCCCGTGTCCCTCTCAGATTCCTCGTCTGTAAAATGGGGAGAATAACCAGACCCATCTCCTGAGAGTCTTGTGAAGATGAAGTGAGATAATGTGCGTTAAAGCAATGGCATCGCGCTCCAGGCCAAACATTCCGTAACTATCAGCTCTAAACGTTTCAGACCAGTGACCCAGCAGCTGCTTCCAGACAGTGACCCCCAGAGCCTCTGACACAGGAGCTCAGGGCGGGATTTAAATGGCCTGCGCATTGCTCACCGTCTCCTGGGGTGAACAAGGGGATCTCCCCGGGCTGGGGAACAGACCACTTTTATGACGGACCACATTCCTTGGCTGTTTGAAAGATTAGCTTCAAAGATGGCTGTGAAAACGTACCTCCCCGAGAGGTTACCGGAGGTAAGCCTGGGCCTGGCGGGTTGGCAGCGTAGCCCAGCCTGGGATGCGCCTGCCTCGGGTTTTGGGGGGTGGGGGAGGGGGAAATAACAGGACGGAGGCCCTGCATGCAGTGTTTTACCCAGCAGTCCTGGGGATTACGCATTGTTACCCAGCAGTCCTGGGGTGTTACGGGTATTCTGATGAATTAGTTATTCGCTCATCAATTCAATAAAGGACTATCTACTTGGTGCTGGGGATGCAAAGATAAATTCCTTGCCCACAATTTACTGAAAGGGCAAATATGAAATATGTGTTGCAGTTTAAATAAGTGTGGTGAGCATGGCTGGCGTGACTTCAGTGGTTGAGCATCAACCTCTGAGCCAGGAGGTCACAGTTCGATTCCTGGGTTGCAGGCTAGATCCCCAGTAGGGGGCATGCAGGAGGCAGCCAATCCATGATTCTCTCTCATCATTGATGTTTCTATCTCTCCCCTCCTCTCTTAAATCAATTAAAAAATATGCCGCGAATTGGGGTACATACAAAATGCCATGGACATAGAAGGGAAGGGGCCAAGTCACCTAGGCCAGTGGTCGGCAAACTGCAGCTCGCGAGCCACATGCGGCTCTTTGGCCCCTTGAGAGTGGCCACGAAGTTTCAATCGCACTGTACGTGCGCACCCGCACGTGGTATTTTGTGGAAGAGCCACACTCAAGGGGCCGCAATTTGCCGACCACTGACCTAGGCCACTGGATAGATGGTGACATCACTCATCCAAACTGGGGCTCCACTAAGAGGAGGAGGGGAACCCTAGGGGTGAAGGTAATGGCCTTGGGTGTTGGTACATTGTTTGAAGTGTTTGTGCAACATCCAAACCAAGATGTGCAAGAGCAGTTGAATAAATGGGTCTTAGTCAAGGTTAGCGACCCAGACATGGAAGTCATTAGCACATAGGTGGTGGCTGATGGGCATGGATGGTCCTACCCTAGAAACATGTCAGAAAGAGTTGAGATACTGGGAAACACTAATATTTAAAGGGTGGGCAGAGGAAGGAAGGCCAGGAAGGAAAACTGAAAGAGAGAGAGAGAGAGAGAGAGAGAGAGAGAGAGAATGGGAGCATTATCAGAAAATC